TCTGGTGAGGACTCCAAGGACTTTGGAGGTGGCGGAGTCACAAGATGGATCTAAGATCTTTGACCGACTGCTAGGGCAGGGCTTCTTTGACTGATCGGTATAAGCTGACTCTGACATAAGAGAGAAATAAACTTTGATTTTCTTAAGCTCCTGAGAGTTTTGCGGTTGTTTGTTATAGCCGTTAGTCTTCCCTGATTAATGCAAATGCAACGCCTATCCCAACCCCCATTCTGTGGACTAGGGAAACAACAGGAAACAAACAAGAGCCCAGGGAGGTTCCTGCTCTTAGGAGACATAACTTATAGAGGGGAAGCAGACAGTTAACAGTGATAACTTACATTTGTACAGTACTTTATTACAAAGTGCTTTCATAGGCGCCAACTCATTTGATTTTCATAACAATATTTTGCAGATAAGGAAAAAAAAAGAACAAAGATTTAAAGTGCCTTGCACAAGACAAGGAGTTAGGAACCAGACATATGAATTAGGCTTTTCTGACTCCCAACCCATGGTTCATGATGCTTCTCAAGCATGAGGCTATGACAGAGCAAGGAATGTGCTAGCCTTTGCCAGAAAATTCTATTATTCAATTTTATTTTTTAAAATAATGTGTTATGCAGAAGTGTAAGTGTAACTAACGAGCAATGCTGCTCATTATGGCAGCATTGATTGTAAGAGCAAAATATGGAAAACAAAGCAAATGTCCATCAGCATGAGAATACACATATTGTGGTATATTCAGAGAATAGAATATTATACAGTAGGGAAAATAAAGAAATTAGAGATATGAGCATCAGCCAGGATGACTCTCACGATCATGATGAATGATGATGGCAAGATGAAGACTGCATACAGTATTGCTAATGCAATAGCAGTAGCAAAGGTTTTGCTATTGCTATTGCAAAGATTTAAGATATTTACGGGAATGATACGTAACAAATTTAGGATAATGACTCTTTTTGCAGAAGAGGAAGAAGGGAGATGCAATTGAGGAGGGGTACACCAACAACTTCAACTGCATTGGCCATATTTCATTTCTTAAGCCAGGTGGTGGGTACGACGTTATTCTGGATTATCTCCCATTTGTCACCCTGAATCCATTCTCCACCCTTCTCAATTGCACCCACTTCCCTGAGAGGCTGACCTGTGTGGTCTACTGTGGGGTCAATGGGCTCCTCATCCTTCTAGCGTTGGATGAAGGGAAGCGAATGTGGTCCCAGCTTCCCGAATTTAGGGTGGCCTTTGGCTGGCCCAGTTTCTTAAGCAGAGTTCACATCTCCTATTTGGAGGCTCTCTCTACCCCTCCCACTGTGGGTTTTGGCAATTGCTCAGTCCCTTACTCCTTCAGGGCTAGAAATGAAAAGGTTATCCCATTGTTAACACTCAGTTATGGGCCATTTCTTATGGTTTTCCAAGCTCCTGCTCATGCCTTGGTATATAGATTCCTTTCTGTGGGGCGCGGTGTCAACGCCATTACAAGTTGGCGCCTGTTTCCGGCTTTGCCTAGAGCAGCTAACAAGTTCAGCTCACGCACAATTGTCGGTTGCCCTGTGGCGCGAGAATGCAAACAAAGGGTCCTGATATGGGCTAATGCTTTGGGGGCTCGACAGTTGAGCGGCCTATCACAGCTTAGGGGTTGTGCTTCTGGGGTTTATAGCAGCCTGCGCGCTGCCGGGCTGGGTCTTCCGCATCATGTAAGTCTAAAGGGAACCCCATTAAAGCACTGTCAGAAGAACTCCTGTTGCCGCGTCTTCCTTGCTGGCGAGGCGGGCGCGACACCTTTCATTAAACTCTTCACTCTCTTCAAATTATCCAGCTTGAGAGTACCATCTGTTTTTTTTTCTGAGTTCTGACTGATTCTCTCTCTCCACACACACATCTTTTTTGCATATTTGAAATAATTCATAATTTGCAAAAAAGTCAAGAAGGAAATAACTTTATTGAGCATGTATTACAAGTCAAGTGTTGTAGGCAGGTTAAAGTTTGGGGATATACAGAAAAATAAATTACAGCTCTTATTGCAAGGAAGTCCAGTCTTGTAGGAGTGACAGGTGAACATTAAAGGCAATGAAATATAGTTGATCAGAGCATGAATTTGTAGTCAGACAGACCTGAACTCAATTCCAGGCTCAGTTACCTACTGGCTATTTGTCCCTGGGCTAGATTAATACTGGCATCTTTTGGGTAGTTGTGATGATTAAAACAATATGTATAAGAACACGGAAGGGCTAGTCTGAGCACAGTGGTGTTTACAAGTAATTGATCACAACCAGTTATAGATTCCTTTGTTCCTTCTCTACTCCTACTGTTTCACTTGGCCAGCCTTAAAAAAAAAAAGCACAGAAGCATGAAACAGCACTGTGTGTTCAGGAAACCATGGGCAGTTTGCTACTGCTAGGGGGTCAAAGACCTACGCATGAAAAGTAGGGAGAGATGAGGCTAGTTAGTTAAGCAGGTGGTATACTTAAAGTGGTTTGGACTTGATCCTGTAGGTAATGAGCATCTAAAAAGGATTTTTAAAACTTTCTTTTATTTTGAAATATTTCAAACCTGTGGAGAAGTTGCAAGAATTGAAAAAAAGAGCTGTGGTATATGCAGGTTCTCCAACTATTGACATTCTATTATATTTATCAGTTGTCTTATCATTCATTTTCTGTCTCCCAGTATATGTATGTGTGTGTGTGGCTACAGTGTAACTGTCAAATCAGGGAATTTATAAGGATACATTACAACCTAATTTTCTTTCTAGTAAAAATACTTTTTTTCTTCTGGTCCAAAATCCAACCCATGATCCTGTGTTGCATTCAGTTGTGAGGTCTCTTTAGTCTCCCGGGGTTCCTCAGATCTTTGTTTTTTGGGACATTGGCATTTTGAAGAGTATAGGTCAATTATATCTTAGTGGAATGTCTTCAGTTTGGGTTTGTCTGATGTTTCTTCACGATTAGAGTCAATCATGCATTTTTGGCAGGAACATCACAAAAGATACACTGTGTTCTTTTCAATAGTTCATATACAGAGGTGTACAAAGTAGATTTGTACTATTATTAGTGACTTTCACTTTGATAATGATTAAGAGAATATCTGCCAGGTCTCTCCACTGTAAAGTTACTAATTTTCCTTTCTAAATAAATGTTTTCAAGGGAGTTACACTGGGATGCATAAAAATATGGCAAACTGTATAAAGAACACAAGTGGAAATTCTTTGATGTAGCAATTCCACTTTTGACAATATATCCTAAGTAAATAAGGATGTATGCAAATTTCTAGCTAAAAGGATATTCACTGAAACTTTGTTTATAAAACAATTAAAAATAAACCAAATGTCTATTATGAATGGATTTGATTTAGTAAATTATCCATATAATAGAATTATTACACAGCTATTAAAACTATGTGGTAAAGATATACTTAATGACAATAAAGAAAGCTCACAACATAGTAATTGAAGAAAGCAGGCAGCTAAATATTAGTACATTGTATGGTCCGGTTTTTATTTAAAAATATTTTATGTGTACATATACACATATACACACGTATACATACATATATGGCTGATTTATTTTATTTAATTAATTAATTAATTAATTTTTTTTTTTGAGACAGAGTCTCGCTTGTTGCCCAGGCTAGAGTGAGTGCCGTGGCGTCAGCCTCGCTCACAGCAACCTCAAACTCCTGGGCTCAAGCAATCCTCCTGCCTCAGCCTCCCGAGTAGCTGGGACTACAGGCTAGCGCCACCATGCCGGCTATTTTTTCTATATATATTGGTTGGCAATTATTTCTTTCTATTTTTATAGTAGAGACGGGTGTCTCGCTCTTGCTCAGGCTGGTTCAAACTCCTGACCTCGAGCAATCGCCCGCCTCGGCCTCCCAGAGCGCTAGGATGACAGGCGTGAGCCACCGCGCCTGATTTTTCTTTTAGCTTGTATGCACACAAATTTTCATTATCAGATTTATTACATTAATATGTGCTGTTGTATGGCAAAACAACAGTTCAAATAAAGTAATAGCAGCCAGGTTTTCTGGCTGTCAGTACGCAAGTTTAAAGGAGATCAGCTAAGAGAGCCGGCAGCGTCGAGCTGGGATCCGAGTCCGCGTCCTACTGGCAGGGCAGAGGCGCCGGAGCCCGCTCGTCGGAAAAGCGGATCTGAGCGGCGCTGGAAGAGCCGGCCGGTTCGGAGCCCCGCCGGGCTCCTTCACCCAGCGACCCGCGGGCTACCGCGGCGCTGCGCGTCACCTCCGGGCCATCGAGGGCGACACAAGCTTCAGCGTCTACTAGATAGTGGCCGTCGTCGTCGCTGTGACCGCACCGCAGCAGGAGAACGGGGTGTGTGGAAAACCAGACAAACAAACACCGGCACGCGGGCAGAGGCACCCCCCGGCCGCGCGCGCCGCCTCCTCCCCTCCGTCCGGGAGGACGCCGGCCTCAGGCCTCCGAGCGAGCAGCGCCGGAGAAACAGACCTTCAAAGAAAGCGAGTTCTTTCCGGGGCGCCGCCGGCTGAGCCAGCGCCGAGCGGCGCGGCGCCCTGTGCCCGCCCGCGGCGCGGGCTCGGTCGGCCGCGGGTCTCCGTCAGAGGACCGGCCGGGCGCCGCTCTCCAGACGCCGAGCGCGCCGCGTGAGGGCCGCTGCCGCCGAGCCCGCCGGCCTTGGGCACGCGGCGCGGGCAGGCTGCACTTGCTGCAGGCGAACACCGGAGGGCGCCGCGCGGCGGAGGTCGACGCCGGCCCCGCCGGACCCCACGTGCGCGCGGTCGCAGGCGGGGCGTCGTGTGCGCGCAGTGCGGGGGGGGGGCGAACGCGCGGGCGAAGCGCGGGCGGGCTAGGCGGGCGAAGGCGGGGGGGCGTCAGGTGCGCGCAGGTCGCGGGGTGGAAGCGGGGGGGGCTAGGCGGGGCGCCGTGTGTGCGCAGGGCGGGCGGGCGGGCGAAGGCCGCGGGCGGGGCGGCGCCGTGGTGGCGCACAGGGCGGGCGGCGCGCGCGTGGTCCGGGCGGCGCGCCCTCCCGCGCCAGTCGCGGCGGGCCGAGCTCCTCCCGGCGCGGCTCCGCCTGCGCGCGCGCCCCGCCCCGCCCCGCCTTCCCTCGGCGCGGCTCCTCCGGCGCGCGGGCAGCATGGCGGCCGTGGAGACGCGCGTGTGCGAGACGGCCGGCTGCAGCCGCGAGGCCAAGCTGCAGTGTCCCACCTGCATCAAGCTGGGCATCCAGGGCTCGTACTTCTGCTCGCAGGTAGGCGCGCTCGCGGCCGGCGGCGTCGGCGGACGGTCCGCGGCGCCCCCTGCCCGGCCGCGCTCCCCCGCGGCCGCGCGCCCCTCCCGCCCCGGGTCCCGGAGCTGCGGGCCGGGCCGGCTCGTTCGGGCGCCCGCGGGCTCGCGTCCGCGCCGGCTCCGTGGCGCCGTTTCCGCCGCGCGGGCCGCAGGTGCGCGCGGCCGGCAGGTAGCGCCGCCCACAGGAGGGCAGCCGGCGTCGCGGGTCGCGGCCCGGCTCGCGGGGGCTCGCTCCGGGGCGCCGGGTCCGCGGCGGGGACGGAAGCGGCGCGCTGGGCTCCGCCGGCTGGGCCGCCGAGGGTCGCGGGGGACGCCGGCCCGGCCCGGCCCGCTTCTTTGTGTTTTTCCGCCGCGCTTGGACACTTGAGCAACTTTGGGGGTGGGGCGACGGGACCGGGGCATTTCTGCTTCTCCTTTGGGGTCCAGAATCATTAATTTAGAGCTGTCAGCTAGCGGGCGGATCGCCGGGTCTGCTGCCGACGGCCCCGCCGGGTGCGGAGGACGGCGCGGAGGCCGCGGCGCCCGGGGTGACTTCGGCGCGGAGCAGGCCGGTGCGGGAGCGGGGTGCCCGCGCGGGTGCCCGCGCCTGGCCCGGAGCGCCGCGGTGCCGCGCCTCCACACCCGGGGTGAGGGCGGGCGGCAGCGCGGCTTCCTTGCGCGCCGTCCAGGCGTGTGGAGAGGGCACGAACCTCCCGCACTGAGTTGGTGGTGTCCCGAGGGAGGAGAGCGGGCGTCGAGTCAGAGGGCCTGCTCAGGGCCCTGCCTTGGCCAATTACTGTGTGGTCTTGAGTTAGTCGAGTTACTTAATCTTTCTGAGCTTCCGTGCTATGCTGTACAGAGGGAATGCTGATGGATTTCCTGGTGTAGTTCACAAGGTTCCTCTGAATTATCCAAGGAACGTGTAATGTAAGGCTTTTTATTTTTAAAGGATGCCAGTAAAATTTGTATTAGCACAATGATTACAAATAATGTAATAAGCATTTTCATATTAAACGTATTGAAAGGTTATGCATAAATATAAAACATATAAGTAAAGTCCTTAAGGTCATAACACTTGTAGATAAGCTACTGTAAGAAATCTTAGCTTTGTTAAATAGGTCTTGTTGTTAGATAGTATATGATCCTTGACCTTGTTAGTATCATTTGGAAAAAGTTGCACGTGGAGAAGTGTTGCTTGATTTAAAAATAGTATTGGGACTACTCAACATGTTAAACCTGCTACAGGTTCTTTTGATTCTTTAAAATTTTCAAATTCTGATTTTGTTGAGGCCTATGTGGGACCTGGACTTAAAACAAAAAAACAGCTGTTTGCTTTTGGAAATTGTGCACCATCTGAGTTGACTAATGTGGTTTACACTGTTTCAAATTAGGTGGCAGTTTGTAATGATGAATGAGTTAATAGGTACTCAGATTTCTCTACGATTTAATAAAGGTACCATAAAACTGTGTTCATCAAGCACAGGTGACATTCGGTAGAAAGAAGATTGAATCTCGCGGTTTGTGGATAGATGCTAGACACATTTGTGAAAACATGCACGATTTTTTCCATGTCGTAGGATTGGGGGTATTACATGTTGGATTTTGCAGGTATATTTCTGGTACTACGGTGGTACCTACAGTCAGATATATGCAGAGTAGCTCTCACAGCTCTCTTTTTCTTCATTCCTATTACCACCTCCTACGATCAGTTTTTAAAATTTCTCACCAAGTCAGTTGTAGTAGTCTCTTAATTCATTCCTCTACTGTAATTCCTTATCTTGCAAACAAACACCCACAAAAAAACAACCAAACAAAACCATAAGTTATTTTTTTCCCCGTAGTCTGATTATGCTTATCCCCCCAGAAGAGTCCCATTGCTTTCAGGATTTTAGCCCCAAATTCAGGTTTACCTGAAAGGTCACGTAGCCTCTGAAATCACAGATACTCTTCCAGTCTCACCTTGAGACCTTGATCAAGTCACTGTAGCTTTTCCTAAGCCAGGTTCCACATTGTGGTTTTCCTGGCCACTTCTCTGATCATTTTCATGAGGAGTGGTCTGTCTTCTCTCTACCCCTCATGCCTGTGCTTTCCAGGCTGGCTGCCCGGCTCAGGTGTCTGTGGGAACAACAGAACAAAACTGCAAGATGCCTTTCTATAACACCGTAACAGAAGTAAGCCATTCCCAGTTACTGTCACACCACCTTGTTTATTTCCTTTATAGCATACTGTAACTCTGTAATTAGCTCATTTGTTAGAAAACAAATATCTTTCAATCAGAAAGTGAATTTCATAAATGAGCTATCTTATCTTGTCCCCTGCCCTATCTTCATTTCCTAGTACTCTGCTTCCTATGCAGGAGGTGGTTAGTAACTCTGACTCGTGAGCTCTTGTGACCCTCCTGCCTGGGCCTCCCAGAGTGCTATGATCACAGGCAGGAGGCACCTCACCCGAGTTACATCTAAATAAGGCCATTAATAGTACTTACCTTAGCCTACCTTGGTGGCTCAGGCCTGTCATCCTACCACTTTGGGAGGTCGAGGTGGGAGGATTGCTTGAGACTAGGAGTTGAAGACCAGCCTGAGCAACATAGGGAGGCCCTTGTCTCTACAAAAAAAGAAAAAAAAAACAGAAAAATTAACTGGGTGTGGTGGTAGGAGTCTATAATCCCAACTACTCAGGAGGTTGAGGCAGAAGGATGAGCCCAGGAGTTTGAGGCTGCAGTGACCTATAATCACACCACTGCATTCCAGCCTGGGTGACAGGGAGACCCTATCTCAAAAATAGATAGATAGAACCCATCTCAGGGTTTTGAGGAAGACTAAATGCACTTAGTACATTAGTAAACTAAATAAGCATTAGCTCTTTTTATTGTTATACTGTGTTTTATATTTGAGAAAGTAGAACTATTTTTACCTCAGATGCTTAATTTTAAAGAAAAGTTTTGGTTCTTTCAAGGAGTAAAACCCGTTTTACTTGAAAATCGAGCTTACCAGGAGTTCCTGATGTTCAATTGTATTTCTTGGTAGAAGTGTCCCTTCTTATTTAATATTTTGTGTATGTCTTATCTTCAGTTGTGTGTAAGAGGTTTTTGAGGATGGAGGCAGCGCTTTACTCATTTTGATATTTTCTCAAGTGCCTTGGGCACAGTAGGCACTCATTTCACTAAATGAAAGAGGAGAGATCAGTGGGCCTGAGATGGAAAGCAAAGAAACTCTCCACTTACATTATCCTCTGTGAAGGCTGAGTAGTGTACTGTATTATGGATGTGCTGTCATTTATTTATATTCACTTACGGTTGAATTTAGTTTTTCAATTTTTTTTTTTTTTGCCTCTGATAACAGTGAGTAGCATAAGGCATTTGTTATCTTGTCCTGTGTTCAATGATCAGCTGGGAAGCGCCTGAGTGATGTGCAGCCGTTTATGTTTGTGGGTATAACAGCTTAAACGGTAGTCAGCTAGTGAGTGGAAGGAGAGCTGGGTCTAACTCTTCGCTCCTGTGTCCGAGGACACCTCATTTGTAAGAGAGGGCGAGTGGGGCGTTCTCTCCGTGGGTGGAGGGGAAGGTGAGTAAGAGCATGCAAACTGCCTCGCACAGTTTGCAGTAAATGGTTTTACTGTGCTTATAGTCTTATATGTAGTACAATTAAAATGAGCTCTAAGGAAGATTTAAAATTGTTTGAGGAGAAATATTGTTTATAATCATTTTGGACAAATTCTCGTAACAGGTTCTTTCAGAGAAGCGGTGGCAAGGTAACGGGGTTGAATCTCCAGGAAGAAAATCTGGTTGAGCCTCTTGTTAGGTTGGAGTTGGAAGGTGAGGAAGGAGTGGCCATTCTGATACACAGCTGGGAAATGAGTCCTGCCCTCTGAAACTGTTTCTCCTTCAGTAACAAAGTTCCTGAAGTGTTTCTGGAATTCATCTTCATCAATGGAGATATTGTGGTTTATTTATAAATTTTTATTTATCAATGTGAGAACTTTCTTTAAATTCCTCACATTAGACCACCCTTAGATATAATTAACTTAGCCATAAGTTAATTGAGTTTGGGTACAAATGTAGTTTCTTATAAACAAAAGGATAGGATGAAGGTATAGAGGGGTTATGATTCTTTTTACAACAAAAATAATTAAACTAATTTGTTTATCATAGAAAAATAGGAAATAGAGTGGAAAACAGTTACCCAAGATAATTCCTGTGAAACTTTTGGTGTATATTCTTATGAACATATTTCCATATGCTTTTTACATTTTTTAAATTTTTTTATTCAGTTTTTTTGTAGAGACAGGTTCTTGTGGTGTTGTCAAGACTAGTCTCCAGCTCTTGGCCTCAAGGAGTCCTTCCACTTGGGACTCCAAAAATGCTGAGATTACAGGTGTGAGCCACCATGCCTACCCATGCATATTTGCATATTCTTACATGCATGTATGTGCATCTACATGTATATTTTTTTACAAACATGGCACCATAATATATTTAATCTTAGAGAATTTTCCTACACTTATGTTTTAACTAGTATATTGGGAATCTCGTGTCATAACTACATTTATATTGTCCTTGACTATTGTGGATGTACTGCCATTTATTTATGTACTTACGGTTGAATTTAGTTTCTTTTCAATTTTTTAGCTGCTCTTTTAATTTTTAGCTGCTCTTTTAGCTGCTCTTCAGTACATGTTCCTGGAAATTTAAATCATGTTGACTTACTCAGGAACATAGAATAATAATAGTTCTGATACATGAATCCAGAATGAAACCATCCCAAGCTTATTCTGCATCCTTGTTCAGAACAGTTCTCACAGTGTAGTAGGGTGGGTCATTGTTGGTTCTAGGGCCGTCTGGGTGACGGTGGGATTTTGTTATGAATTATACTTGCACTGCAGTAGAACTTGTAATGAAAAACAAGCTTATTTGGTAGGTAATCAAAAGTTACACATCTTATCTTGGATTACCTTTTTGGAAATTGAAGGGCTATAGGAAATAAA